ATTTTCTTATAAACTCGTGCTTCTTAGCTCGCATCAGAGTCACCTGGAGGATTTGTTAAACACATCGCTAAACTCACCACCAGAGTTTCTGATTCAGTAGGTCTGGGGTTGGGCCTACTAATTTGCATTTCTGGCAAGTTCCCAGGTGATGCTGTTGCTGCTGATCTACGGACCATAGTTTGAGAAGCAGTGTCCTAAACCTCTTCTTTCAAATGTTTAAATTCAGAGGGTCTTTTCCAAATCTTACATCTTGCTTATTCCCTACAAAGTTCTATAAAACAAGAGGAATAGATACTCTTATCCCTATTGTTTTGTTACCAAACAAAGAGTCGAGGAAGTTATTGACTTGCTTAATGCTGTACATCATTTTACTAACTCAGATATTAGAATCCAGGGTTCTTCAATCCCAGTGGAGTGTTTATTCCATTAACCAATACTGCCTCTGATAATAAGGGCAGTATGCCTTATGTTGAGAGGATTTGCCAACCAATTTCTCCTATATACTTGAAAAACAAAGGACGACAGCATTATTTTATAACATTTAAAGATAAATTCCTCATTTTTACGCTCTATTACCTTACATTGGCCTCCTTGTTCTTAGGTCATGACAAGGATATTCTAACCTCAAGATTTTGTTTGCAGACTTTGCACTTGCTGTTTTCTCAGTCTGCCCACAGATATCTTTATGGCTTACTCTTTTTTCACAAGTCCAATAAAAATGTTTCCTTCTCAGAAAAGTTTTCCCTGGCCATGTCATCTAAAATAAAGGCCTTGTTTATCCTTTTATTCTACTTTTTTGGGAATATGTTCATCACTACTTGAGTTTATACATGCTTGTATAGTTTGGTTTAGTTTTGCTTTTTTTTTTTTGCTGCCCCTCTCATCGGGGATTATTCTGTCTCATACTTGTTGCATCCCCAGTGCCTGTAAGAGTCCTTATTACAGAGCTGAATGAATGTGAGAATTCAATATGTTAAAAATCTAAATTATGAATTTGACACAAATTTTAGCCTATTCATTTCACCAAACATATCAAGACTTACCATATATATGCCAGGCACAGTTTTGTTATTAGGAATATAAATATGGGAAAATCTTGATTCATGTGTAGTGATGGGGATGGCAAAAGATACTCCAAAAGATAATTTCAAAACAGGTAGTAAATGCTATGATAGCATCTAGGTAACTGCTCTTGTTATCTGGAACCTACTTAAACCATGAATGGTGTCTTAGACTGCTTCTACTGCTGTAAAGGAATACCTAAGTTGGTTAATTTAGAAAGAAAAGAGGCTTATTTGGGTCATAGTTCTGTAGATAATATAAAAAGAATGGCTCCAGCATCTACTTCTGGTGACAGCTTCAAGTTGCTTCCATTCATGGTGGAGGGTGAAAGAGAGCTGGCATGTGCAGAGATTACATGGCAAGAGAAGAAGAAAGAGAGAGTGGGGAGAGGGACCAGCCTCTTTTTAACAACTGGCTCTAGCCTGGCACAGTGACTCATGCCTGTAATCCCAGCACTTTGGGAGGCCAAGGTGGACAGATCATGAGGTCAAGAGATTGAGACTATCCTGGCCAACACAGTGAAACCCATCTCTACTAAAAATACAAAAATTAGCGGGGAGTGGTGGGCACCTATAGTCCCAGCTACTCCAGAGGCTGAGGCAGGAGAATCACTTGATCCCGGGAGACGGAGGTTGTAGTGAGCCAAGATTGTGCTACTGCACTCTAACCTGACGACACAGCGAGACTCCATCTCAAAAAAAAAAAAAAAAAAAAAAAAAAAAAAAAAAAAAAAAAAAAAATCAGCTCTTGCAGGAACGAATAGAGTGAGAACCCATTCATTGTTATGGGGATAGCACCAAGCTGTTCATGAGGGATTCGCTCGTTGCCATGATCCAAACCTTCCCATTAGGCCCCACCTCCAACACTGGGAATTGAATTTCAACAAGAAGTTTGGGAAGACAAACATTCAAACTATTAAGAATGCAATGCCTGTGGCCTTTCTGTGGTCATGAGGTGGCAAGGAATGTCTGGTTGTCTTTAATTCCTGGAGCTGAAGATTCCATTGGTATGACTTCAAAAACATACACATATGTGGATATCTAGACCAGTGCTATGCAGTGGAACTTTTGTGGATATTTTTGATGTATACATTGCTCAGTACAGTAGCCACTAACCACATTAGCTATTGAGCACTGAAATGTGACTATTGCAATTGAATAATTAAGTCTTTAATTTTAAACAGCTGCATGTGGGGAATGGCTACCATATTGGAGAGTGTAGTTCTAGAATATCAAGTGGTAGCTGTAGACACAAGCTGACTTCTTCATAGCTCCTCTCTCTTTCCTCAGAGCCACTGTCTCAAGACTCTGCCCTTCTTCAAGAGAAGAGCCCAGAAGAAGAGAGAATGACTGCTAGGCTCTTGATGGCTGGATTCAGGGTGAGTTATATTTTCATTTCCTAAAGTATCTTACATTTTCTACTTTCATTCTGGTGGTTTGGGGCCCAAAAAACTTCAATTCAGTGACTTGAATTCCAGATATTTTATCTTCTAGGAAGCAAGGCCTAGTCTCTTTGATCATGAATTTTAAAAGATTGGTTGTCTATTGCCACCTGCCTTCCCATAATGTTTTTGTTTTTGTTTGTTTGTTTGTTTCTGGTAACTAGCACAGCATTTAGTAACTAGCATTTGGTAACTAGCATAGCAGGTAGGTTCTCAATTAGGCATTCTCTGTGCTATTCAGTTCTTCAGCAGCCTTGTCTAACCAAGGAGTTAAGGAAGAATTCTTGGTATCAAGAATAAAATACCACATCCATTTTAAGTGGTAAAGAGAAAACATCCCGTAGGAATTCAGAGAAGGGGAGTGTGATTTGGAGGATTTTATGAAGGGGTGGGATTTTGGTGTGCACTGAAATATAGTTGCAATTTGCTCAAAGGAGAACTGAGGGATTTTAAGGGGAGAAAATATAAGACAAGGCTTAGAGGTAGAAGAGACTGTGTTTTCTATGGGGCAATGGGTAGTAGCCTTATGTTAAAAATGTTAAGGGTGAAATTTGCTGTGCTAAATAGGACTAAGGGTTTGACTTTGTCATAGAGTTGATTGTGAATTATTAGAAACTTTTGGAAAAAAAATGCCATGACACAGCTTGTTTCGGCAAGGAACAGTAATGTTTTAGTTTAGATTTAGGGGATGAAAAAGAAAGGAATTGAAAGTAACTCCAGTTAAGAGAATCTAGAATATCTAAGAGGGATAAGGTACTTTGGAAGAGCCACCAGTGTGCTGTGGAGAGGACATGGGTGGAAAACTAATTGGGGTGAGTTAGCATTGTAAATAGATTATGTTAAGGCATATAAGGCAAGTTGAAAATGTCATGGGATCCTTGGGATATTGCTTTGCCAGCCAGAAACCTCTGTGGCCGGCAGCTCCTTCTGCCTGAGTGAGTATTGGTCTCACCACTGGGCTTGTTCCACCTACTCAGCCTGGCAGGCTGTGCTCAGCTCACACTACTGTCTCAGATCCCACACCTGCCAAGGGTGAGCCACACAACCAGGGGTATGTGGGCAAGTGAGCACGGGGTCTGGCCAGTGAGCACAACCACACACGCTGGCTGCTGCGGTGGGGCAGGCAGCTCCGTGCAAGGCTACAGCTGGAACAGATGTACCGCATGCAGTGGAAGTACCTCCACTGTGGGCACCCATGTCTGGACAAGGGGAACGCAATGACTTCTGGAAGCTTGGAGATGCCAGGAGCCACAGAGCCTCAAAGAGGGTGTCATAGTGCTGGCTCAGGGAGCCTCTAGATTTAGGCTCAATTAAGGTCTGCAGCTCTTCTTCTCATTGCCCACAACATGGCAAGCAGGGAGGCATGTTTCAACCCTGTTTGTGTTACAGCTTTTTCAGTCCTTCCATTTGGCAGGTCCCAAGTTTTTGGCCCATGCTTGGTCCGTATTCAGGAAGAATGAGGTATCTGGACAACTGGAGGGTGAAGAAGTGGGAGAGGAGCTTCACTGAGTGACAGAACAGCTCTCAGGAGACCCAAAGTGGGTGGCTTCTTTCCGCAGACAGGTTGTCTTGATGAGTGTCCAGCTGTCAGCAGAGAGGAGACCTGCAGTGGGTAGCTCCTTCCCGCTGGCAGGTCCTCCCAATGTCTGTTTGAATCTGACTGAGTCTGAGGTTTATATGAGCTCAGAAGGGAGGAAGCGCATGCCAATTGGTCCATGGGTGATCACAGGTGGGTGGAAAAAGCACCAAAAGTTCTCACTCCCTGCCAGGCTGTGGACTGCACCCAGAACTGACAGCCCAGCCCCCATGCTTTAGGCCATCCCTAACTTGAAAGTGGGGCTTCACTGGGGACCCACCCCTTTCCACCCAGGAGCCTGTCTGCCTCCTGCCACCATCAATCATGTCCTCCATGGTGCCCAGGCTGTTCATGCTGGGCTTGAAGGCCCACACTGAGCCACCCTCAACCCGGCTTCAGCCTCCTTCCCATGCTTTTCAGTGCTCAAAGTCCAGAGGGGGGCAAGGTGGCAGGGGCTGGCATGTCAGCGCTGCTCTGAGCATGTGCACACCTGGTCAGGTTGTGACTGTGCCCAGGCTCAGCCTCAACTTTGCTGTAAAATCAGAATGGATGCCAGGACCAGGGAGATGCCAAGCAGCAGGAGCAGACACTTTGGAGCTTGTCAGGGACAGGGCTTCCAGGACCCACAAGAGCACAGGGATGCCCAGGTCCGCAGCCACAGCTGGGCAGCTGCAGCTGTTCCTGGGAGGGTAGAGTTCCCGCCCCGCCAACTTTCATGTTGAATTATAATCCCCAGTGTTGGAGGAGAGGCCTGATGGGAGGTGCTGGATCATGGGGGCAGACATCCCCCTTGCTGTTCTTTTGATAGTAAGTGGGTTCTCACGAGATCTGGTTGTTTAAAAGTGTGTGGCACCTCCCCTCTCTCTCTCTTTTCCTGCTTTTCCAGCCATGTAAGGCGCGCCTGCTTCCCCTTCACCTTCCATCATGATTGTAAGTTTCCTGAGGCCTCCCAAGGTGTGCTTCCTGTGCAGCCTGTGAAATGGTGAGTCAATTAAACTTATTTTCTTTATACATTACCTGGTCTCGGGTAGTTCTTTATAGCAATTCAGCAACAGACTAATACATAATATACAATGTATTTATGTAGCAAGTCTATTGTTTGTCTTTCTTACTATGGAGTATGCTCTATGTAGGCAGAGTTTTTCTTTTCTTTCTGTTTTGTTTTGTTTTTTAGTCTCTTTCACGTTAAATCACCTGTGCCTAGAGTATTTAGCATATAGTACTCATTAAACTTGTGTTGAATAAGTATTGAATGATTTAAAACAATTAAAAATTTTTGATCTCTAACCTCACAATGCCTCCTTGATAATCTTGGCAGTCCCTAACACTTCTGTGGAAAACTTAATTTGCTATATTAATTTTAACCTTCATCTGGCTGAATTTTAAGGTTTTCTCTTAAAAATCTTGAATTTTCTTACAGACTTTTAAACTATGTTTTTAGTAGTTGCTCTAGGGATTACAATATATATCGTTACTTCTTCACAATCTTCCTACATTTAATGTGTCACTTCACAAAAAACGTGGAAGCCTTACAACGATATGTGTTCAATTATGACGCCTCACTCTTTTTGTTCTGCTTGTTGTTCTTTGTATTACATCTACATATGTTATAAGTTGTTCAAGAAAATGTTATTTTTTTCTTTAAATAGTTATATATATTATAAAGAAATTAAGACAAAAGCAACCAGGTGTGGTGGCTCACGTCTGTAATCCCAGGACTTTGGGAGACCAAGGCAGGTGGATGGCTTGAATTCAGGAATTCAAGACCAGCCTAGCCAACATGATGAAACCCTGTCTCTACTAAAACTTAAAAAAAAAATACCTAGGCCTAGTGGCACATGCCTGTGTTCCCAGCTACTTGGGTGGCTGAGGTGGGAGGATCACTTGAACCCAGGGTCAGAGGTTGCAGTCAGCCGAGATTGTGCCACTGCACTCCAGCCAGGATGACAGAGAAAACCCTGTCTCAAAAGAGAAAAAGAGAAAAAAAAAAAAAAGATAAAAGCAAACTTTTAAAAACAAATTTTAATTTGCCCTATTTCTAAATGCTCTGTATTTCTTTTTGGGAATCAGAATTTCTATCTGGTATGATTTCCCTTCATCCAGAACTTTCTTAATTATTTCTGCATTAATCAAACAAAATCCACAGTGGCACTCCATCCATTTAGCCACTCTAGCCAGAGTCCAGAAATTCACCTTTATAATCCCTTTCTCTTCATCTGCATTTTCAGTTTGCCATCAAACCTTGTCAAATTTATTTCCTAAATATATTTCAAATCTATCACTTCTTTCTGTCTTTACTCACTTTATTTTTAATCCGTGTCCTCATCATTTCTTGCCTAGATTCCTGGAGCATCCACACAAATATTTTTCCATGTCCATTTTGGCCGTTCTACTTCTGCTTATTCCACCTACTGCCGAAAGTGTCTTTTGCAGCTCTCAAATTTGAATTTGTCACCTTTTTGCTTACGACTCTTAAATGGCTTCCTAATGCTGTCAGGATAAAGATGCCACACTTTTTGCATGGCCTGTGAGCCTCATGTGACTGGACTCTAATTTTCAGCCTCAGTTCTTCCCTCATTCTTCATGTATACCTTCTTTGCTCTATTCACAGTGGCCTTCTTTCAATCTCTCTTCCTCCCCATTCCCCCTGTCATGATGGTGCCTTCACACTTGCTATTTCCTCTGCTTGGTGTGGTTTTCTTTAAAGATTTGATATGTTGATATTGTGAGTCAGCCTAGCATAAACTCAATTAATATTAGCTATAAACCAAAAACTTCATCAAAGTTCTTTCCCTTTTTTCTAAGACGTGAAATGATAACTCTGAAGACAACATGTGCAGACAGGAGAAAATAGATAAACAATGTACAGCACTGCTATTAAGTGCCAAAATTAGAAGTTAAAATAGTAAGTTGTAGGAAATCAGGGAAACTGGAGAGTAAGGAATGTTGTGGAACTAGTGTCATTTGAGTGACGCTCCAAAGTAGTGTCAAGAATTAGATGGGCTAAAGAAGGAAGAAAGGGCTTTTTGCACAGGAGAAGCAATAATAAAGTATTGTTTGTTGTTATTATTTTTGTTTTTGCTTTTGCTTTTTAAAATTTCTTTTTATGATAATAAATAAATTAGAGTTAAAACGAGAAATGAGTGTTGGATATTAGGAGTGCAGCTAATAAAATCATTAATTTTTATGTGTAATTTATGCCAGAATCTAGGGGACACATTGAAAACAGGTGGTTTAGTAAAAATCTACATATTGAATGGAGAGACTCTCACCTTAGTTTTTCCTTCTACTTGATTTCTATATCCTACCCCATTTCAGGTAGAAGGTTAAAGTGATCCATTCTGGGGAAATTAACCAACCTAAGATAAAAGAACTGTAGGTGCCACTATTTGGGCATCCTCTAATAAATCAGCCAGGTCCCTTCTCAGTCATCCTGCAATGGAACCCATTATAAATCATGACCTTACAAACAATTTTCAGTTATCATATTAGTATATTAACTCTCTCTGAAGTATGAATCCAGACTGAAGGACCACTTTTTAATATGCTGATGTATAAAAAGAAGAGCTATCCTTTTTTCCCTATGCTTTATGTTACTTGCCTCTTTATCCATGACTGAAAGTGAAAAATAATGTAGATTTGTCATTAGAAAGACCTAATAATTATTTTTTCATTTCAAAAGAGTAAATTTCCCCCTTTTCATCCTTTCCTTTGTCCTTAAACCTAGAGTTTACGCTCTTTTTATACCAAGTGTAAAGCAATAACATTAGCATTTACTTGACGAAGAATAATTAGCTAAAAGTATTACTTTGTACAAGTACTAAAAAATCTAATATAAAAGCTTATTGAAAATAAAAAGCTGTTAGTATTTTTTAAGATAATAGTTTCAATGCTGAGTAAGTAGTTTTCTCATAGGATAATTTCTGAAAGACCATTTCTCTCTGATAACAGTTTTCATTTCTTAATCCCTGATAATTCTCTTTTCTAATATTCACCGTTTAGTTTTTTCCCTAATCATTCTTCTCACCTGACAGAATGTTTGCTTCATTCCCTGTATCAGACACTTTCACACCACTAGTATTTCCTTCTCACTCCTCCCTCGATTACTATCTTATTGTCCCAGTATTTATAGTCCCAGTATTTTATGTTCTCAGTATCTGTAATTTCATTATTCCATTCCTAATGTAGCAGCTTCTTTTCTCCCAACATTTGGCACATAGTAGAGTCATATTTTTATGTCTTTTAGATGGGAAGCTTGAACCTGGGGCCAAGATATCAAGAGTAGAGCAGCAGGACATTTCAAAAGAAGATTAATCTCAAGGATTAGAGATGGAAGAACTTGCAAAGAGAAAGTCTATACCAGAAGAAATCTGGAAATCTAGAGGCCAGTTTAAGAATCAGCCGCTAAACAAGGGGAGTAATCTAGGGTAGGAGATAGCTACCTGCACAAAAATTCCTACCAGAGAAAGAGATGTAGAATCTAATGAATTTGTGAGAATTTTTACTATAAGATCAATACTTGTTACAGAGCAGAGAGATCCTATAGAATTGTCATAAATATGGTATGTGTTGAAAGACACACAAACAAAACTCAGATTTAATTATACAAAGAAAGTATGATGGAAAAAAACCCTTGTAAATATAGTGAATATGGGAGAACCTTCAGAGGCCGTGTCTTGTTCAGCATCAAAGAACTCATTGTGGAGAGAGAGACCCTATAAATCTACTGAATGTGGAAAGGGATTTAATCAGAGTTCCCACTTAAGAAATCTTCAGAAAACTCATATAGGAGAAAAGCCCTACAAATGCAGGAAGTGTGGGAAGGCCTTCATTTATTGCTCAGTTCTTAATTCAACATCAGAGAATTCACAGTGGAGAGAGACCTTATGAGTGTACTGAATGTGGCAAGACATTCAGTCGTAGTACACCTTACTCAGCATCAAAGAATTCACACCAGTGAGAAGCCCTGTAAATGTCTTGAATGTGGAAAGGCTTTTAATCAGAACACACATCTTACTCTACATCAGAGAATCCATACTGGAGAGAAACCTTATGAATGCAATGAATGTGGTAGGTCCTTTAGTCAGAGTGCACATCTTACTCAGCATCAAAGAATGCATACAGGAGAAAAACCCTATGAATGTAATGAATGTGAGAAAGCCTTCCATGATCACTCAGCTCTTATTCAACATCATATTGTCCATACTGCAGAGAAACCCTATGAATGTCATGACTGTGGGAAAGCTTTCAGTTACTGTTCGGACCTCATTCAACATCAGAGAATGCACACTGGAGAGAAACCATGCAAATGCAATGAATGTGGGAATGCCTTTAGTGATTATTCAGCCCTTATTCAGCATCATAGAACTCACACTGGAGAAAAGCCCTATGACTGTAATGAATGTGAGAAAGCCTTTGGTAACTATTCAGCTGTTATTCGACATCAAAGAACACATACAGGAGAAAAGCCTTATGAATGTAAGCAATGTGGAAAAGCCTTTAGCAGAAGCACATACCTTACTCAACATCGGAGAAGTCATATAGGAGAGAAACCATATAAATGCAATGAATGTGAGAAAACTTTCAGCCAGAGTTCATTCCTTACACAGCATACGAGGGTTCATACTGGAGAAAAACCCTACAAATGTAATGAATGTGGAAAAGCTTTTAGTGACCGCTCAGGACATATTCAGAGAACTCACACTGGAGAGAAGCCCTGTGAATGTAATGACTGTGGGAAACCTTTGAGTTTCTGTTCACCCCTAATTCAACGTAAGAGAAATCATACCAGAAAGAAGCCCTATAAATGCACTGACTGTGGAAAAGCCTTCAGTGATCGGTTAGCACTTGTTCAACATCAGATAAATCACACTGGAGAAAATACCTATAAATGTACTGAATGTGGAAAAGCATTCAGTCAGAGTACACACCTCAAAAATCACCAGAAAACTCATACTAGTGAAAAATCCTATAAATGTAATGAATGTAGAAAGGCATTCAGTTATTGCTCCGGTCTTATTCAACATCAGGTCATTCATACTGTAGAAAAACCTTATGAATGCAGTAAATGTGGCAAAGCCTTTAGGCAGAGGACAGACCTTAAAAAACATCAGAAAATGCATACTGAAGAGAAACCCTATGAATGTAATGAATGTGGGAAAGCCTTTAGCCAGAGCACATATCTTACAAAACACCAAAAAATTCATAATGAAGAGAAATCAAATATACATACTGAGTGTGGGGAAACCATTAGACAAAACTCTTCTTTTTTACAATAAAAACTTCATGCTGGAGAGAAATTCTCTGAATGCCTTAAGAATTTGGTTAATATGGAGACCCTTCCCAGGGAAACAGAAGGAGGATCATGAAAACTGTTGACTGCTTAGAATGATCACATGGTTTAGTGGAGAGAGCATGTTTCTGGGTTTTAGAAGTCATGGATCTCAATCACAGCTCTATTACTAACTAGATCTTTTACTTTGGGGTAAGTCACTTCATATCTTCAGGCCTTAATTTCCTCATCTGAAAAATTGGAAGGCCTGATTTGTTGAGCTTTAAGATCCTCAATTATTACATTTACTAGGAATTCAAGTTTCTATAGATGTGGTTCAGAATTGTGACTTATTTAATGTACATCAGGTATGACTCACAAGTGAGCTTGTAGTAGCTATTAAGGAGTCAATAAAGATATAAAGCACATGTCATGTAGCTGTTTATTACCCTTGTATTACTTTTCTAAAATACATGTCACAAATATTGAAGAAAACTAAGAGAGAAAGTAGTATAAGTTCTATGAATTATTACATTAGGAGTTTGAGATCTTTTCTTGATTAAGAATATGGTGTTAGATAAAAACTGAGAAAAAAAGAATCAGATTGTTGATAGATAAAGGCTAAGTTACCTGGATATCATTCAAGCCCAATCTTGCAATATAAACCCTACTAAGTTGAACATGGCAATCGTCATGTTCCAGCTGAGAAGGGGCTAGAAAACGTGACTTAATCAGGTATCTAGAAAGGGTGAAATTGGAAAGTGCATTTGTTATTTCCACACCTAAATACGTAAAGGCCATGTAAATGAGAGTAAATTTTGAGATCTAATATGTCTAGAAAAGTCTGTTGTCTTTTTCCTATGGTTACAGAGACAATGACCTGAAAATATGAAGATTTACCTCAGAAGACTGTAATTTAAAACGGATCATCTAGGGACAGGAAAAAGCCACTTGTTATGGAACTTATCCAGTGTGTGGCTTTGGAGACTTAGTGCAGACTTACTGAGTTTGGAGTTGGTTTTGGTGTCCGGGACAACTGCTTACACATAAGGATAAATAATGGTGAACCTGCTAGACAGTCATTGAGAAAACTTACACTTAAAGCAGCAGTGTTTAAGCTTTTGTGAATGTATATGTCCCTCTGAGAATCTATCGTTTTCATAGACTTTCTCACTGGAATAATGCATGGCACATTCACATGATTTTGTGAGGAGCTACAAAATGAATATGTATAAAATTGGTAGTACTACATACACATAAGTACTAATAATTAATTTGAAAGCGTAATAGAAAAAGTATTCACAATAGCTGTAGAAATATGAAATATAGGAATGAGTTTAATAACAAATATACAAGACAACAAAAATGATTTAGCAATTTTTATGAGAAAAGGCTGATTCATACATGAGGAATTATGTACCTTTATGGGATGAGTGAATAAAATTGTCAGTTAAAACCGTATTTGTAAGTTGAATTTAAGATGATTCTAACTTTAGGATGAAAGAAAAAAAGGGAGATGAGTGGGCAAAATATTTCCAAAATGTGATAATTCTGAGTTAGCATGGCAGGGGAACTGCAAAACAATTGATAGATCAATAAAGCACAAGAGAAAACACTGTAATTTTTTCAGTACATGAAAAAATTTAGCATATGAAATTCTAAATGAGGAGTGGTTCGATAATTCAGTAACTTTTCAAAAAAGTAGCTAGTTGTTATAGAAAATACAGTTCCAAGATCGTTAAACATTAAATATAAAATTGATATTATAAGAGAAGTAAATATACACAAATACTTAAACACTCGGGATTGTGGGAGCTTTCTGAAATATTCACAGAAAAATAATAGATAGCTATCTCTACCAAAAGACACTAAAATTTATGTTTCCAAATACCTTAAAAACTGAAAAATCATGCGGGGCGCAGTGGCTCACGCCTGTAATCCCAGCACTTTGGGAGGCCGAGGCGGGCGGATCACGAGGTCAAGAAATGGAGACCATCCTGGCTAACACGGTGAAACCCCGTCTCTACTAAAAATACAGAAAATTACGGGGCGTGGTGGCGGGCGCCTTGTAGTCCCAGCTACTCCAGAGGCTGAGGCAGGAGAATGACGTGAACCCAGGAGGTGGAGCTTGCAGTGAGCCGAGATTGAGCCACTGCCCTCCAGCCTGGGCGACAGAGCGAGACTCCGTCTCAAAAAAGGAATAACTGGGAAAAAAAAAAAAAAAAAACCCAAATGAAAAATCAAATGACAGTTTGAAAAAAGAACTTTTCTGTGATATATATGATAGAAAAGAGATGTAATGAAATAAAACTCAAAAGGAAGAAGTTAAGGATCTGATACTGAAGAAATACAACGTGACCAATAAAACGTGAAAAAATATTTGGCCTAATTTGTTTTCAGAAAATTGTGGTTTAGAACAACTATTAGATACACTTTTTGTTTTAACAAATTCACAGAGTATTAAAAACAAATGCTACTCAGTTGTGGGGTTTGAGTATATTAATATACTGTTATGAATCCCATATTTATTGGTACAATATTTCTGGAGGCAGTTTGACTATATGCAACATGGGACTTAGAAATATTTACATTGCACTTTGGGAGGCCGAGACGGGCGGATCACGAGGTCAGGAGATCGAGACCATCCTGGCTAACACAGTGAAACCCCGTCTCTACTTAAAAAAAATACAAAAAACTAGCTGGGTGAGGTGGCGGGCGCCTGTAGTCCCAGCTACTTGGGAGGCTGAGGCAGGAGAATGGCGTGAACCCAGGAGGCGGAGCTTGCAGTGAGCCTGGGTGACAGAGTGAGACTCCGTCTCAAAAAAAAAAAAAAAAAAAAAAAAGAAATATTTACATTGGCTAATGTAGCATATTCATTTCTGGAAATGTATTTTAAGGAAACAGTCTTGGATATACATACAGACTTATCAACAAGGATTTGTTTAGATTAATTTTTATTGATACATAATTATATGTATTTATGAGGTACATGTGATATTTTGATGCATACAATATGTAATGATCAAATCAGGGTATTGAGGATATTCACTTCAAACACTTATTATTTCTTCATATTAGGAACATTTTGAATTTTCTAGTTATTTTGAAATATAGTCAGGTGCTACTTAATGACATGATGTTTTCTGAGAAATGCATCATTAATACATAGATTTTGATGTGCAAACATGATAGGATGTACTTACACAAACCTAGATGAAATAGTCTACCGTACACCTGATCTAAGCTATATGATATTATTGTTCCTAGACTACAAACCTGTACAGCATGTTACTGTACTGAATGCTGCAGGCAATTGTAACACAGTGGTATTTGTGTATATAAACATTAAAAAGGTACAGTTAAAGTACAGTATAAAATATTAAAAAATGGTACACCTATATAGGGCACTAACCAGGAATGGAACTGGCAGGCCTGGAAGTTGCTGTGTGTGGCTCAGTGAGTGAGTGGTGAGTGAATGTGAAGGCCTAGAACATTACTGTATACTACTGTAAACTTTTATAAACCCTGTACACTTAGGCTACACTAAATTTACTTTATAATTCTTCAATAATAAATTGATGTTACTATAAACTAAACTTAGTTTATAAACTTAAAAGTTTTTAATTTTTTAACTTTTAACTCATTTTAACTTTTTGACTCTTGTAATAACACTTAGTTTAAAACACAAACACATGGTATAACTGTACAAATAAATCCTTATTCTGTAAACTATTTCCTATTTTTAGCTTTATAAAAAAAAATCCTTTAAAACTTTTTTTAAAAAAACTGAGTCACAAACACATACATTAGCCTAGGCCTACACAAACTTGGTATCATCAAGATGTCACTAGACAGGTATTTTTCAGGTCCAGCATAATCTTATGGGACCACCATCACGTAAGTGGTCCATCATTCACAGAAAAGTTATTATGTGGTGCATGACTATATACAGTAAGTTATTGCTAACTATAGTCACCCTATTGTGCTATCACACACTAGAACTTAAGCCTTCTATCTGTGTGTAGCCACTGACCAACCTCTTTTCATTGTCTCACCACTTCCCAACCTCTGGTAACTATCACTCTACTCTCTACGTCTATGAGATCAGCCTTTTGAGCTCCCATATATGAATGAGAACATGCAATATTTGTCTTTCACTGCCTGGGTTACTTCACTTAACATGATGACCTCCAGTTCTATTCACATTGCTGCAAATGTCCGAATTTCACTCTTTTTATGGCTGAATAGTATTCCATTATGTATATATATCACATTTGCTTTATTTATCCATTCAAGAACACTTGTTGATTCCGTATCTTCACTATCGTGAATAGTACTGCAATAAACATAGGGTGCAGATATCCCTTTGATATACTGATTTATTTTCCTTTCGATAAATGCACAGTAGTGGGATTGCTGGATCATATGGTAGTTCTGTTTTTAGTTTTCTAAGAAACCTCCATTCTATTGTCCATAATGACTGTACTAATTAATATTCCCACCAACAGTATATAAGAGTTCCCTTTGGTCTGCATCCTCGCCAGCAATTTTTTTTTTTAATAGCCATTCTGAGGTGAGATGATACCACATCATGGTTTTGATTTGCATTTCCCTGATAATGAATGTTGTTGAGCATTGTTTCATATACCTATTGCTCATTTGTACATCTTCTTTTGAGACATGTCTACTCAGATACTTTGTCTACTTTTTAATAGGATTATTGTTTTGTGGTTTTTCTTTTGCTCTTATATGAGTTCCTTGTATATTCTGGATGCTAATCCTTTGTTGGACAAATAGTTTGCAAATATTTTCTTCCATTCTACAGGTTGTCCCTTTGCTCTGTTGGTTGAATTTTTTGCTGTGCAGAAGCTTTGAGTTTAATGTAGTTTCATTTGTCTGTTTTTGGTTTTGTTGTCTGTGCTTTGGAAGTGTTAGGTATAAAATATTTGCCTAGACTAAAGCCCTGAAGCATTTCCACTGTGATTTATTTTAGTAGTTTTATAGTTTGGGGTCTTATGTTTAAGTCCTTAATCCATTTTGAGTTGATTTTTGTATATGGCAAGAGATAGGAGTCTAGTTTCATTCTTTTGCATAAGAATATCCAGTTTTCCCAGCATCATTTCTTGAAGAGGTTGTTCTTTCCCAATGGCAAGAGATAGGAGTCTAGTTTCATTCTTTTGCATAAGAATATCCAGTTTTCCCAGCATCATTTCTTGAAGAGGTTGTTCTTTCCCAATGTATGTTCTTGTCATCTTTGTTAAAAATCAGTTGGCTGTAAATATATGGGTTCATTTGGGGATTCTCTGTTCTGTTGCATTGGCCTATGTGTCTGCTTTTATACCAGTACCGTGCTGTTTTGGTTACTATAGCTTTATAGTATATTTTCAAGTCAAGTAGTGTGATGCCCTCCAGCTTTGTTC